CTGAAATGTTGTGAGAGAAAAACATTGTTCTATCTGTAAAAGAAGAAGCCGATAAAGCCGGATATAGATAAGCCTCTACAATATTTGCACAGTGAACATCAGTCCATCGATGCAGTGGGGCTGCAGCTGCTGCACTCCTGTCTCGCCCTGCGCGCTGGGCAGCCCCTAGAGACTGGAGACTGGAGACTGGAGACAGGAGACTGTCGTAAGACGAGGAGCCTCTGGAGAGCCTCCAGGGAGATCGAGACGAGGAGCTGCCGTTTCCATTTTTTTTTCCTTTTTAGGTTGACATGAATTAATTTTTTATTGTCTTGGTCGGCCTGTTTGTTTAACTTATCTGCCGGCTTATCAGCTAAAATCTATAGTATTTCTCTTACAATAAAACAACTACAGTTGGCTTATCAGCTGGCTTTAATGCCAGCCGAATAAACCCGTGGTCGCTGACAATGCGATGTGATAGTTTATGATGACCTTTTATTATGGGAATTTTTTAACCGGAAACATGCATTTATTACGGGACGGAGAAAGTACGTCGTTTTTTCCCTAGCCGGAAAACAGCGAGCTGGAAACCATTGCCCTGTTCGTTTGGCTGATAAGCCATGGCTGAAAGTACCGTTGACTGATTTATTGTGAGAGAAAAATAATATTCATTAGCTGAAAAAGTATGACTTATAAGCACAAACGAACATGGCGCATATTTCCATGCCAAGATATATCTACCGCCAGTAATTTCTTGTGAGGAGATAATTTACGATTATACGTGACTGTTTAATTTTTTATTTTATTTTTATATTCTGAGTCCAGGGCATGACGGGGCTGTTCCTGTTCGATTTGATCGGGTCCACTTATAGCAAGCAACCAGCGTTTCCCAGGTCTCCCTCCCCGGCCCCTTTCATCCTTCTTCCCCTGACTGGATCACCTGCAGACTAACATGTGGGCCCGCAAATGTGGCTGCACGTGCCACTGGGATGGATATTTGGTGCGAGTGAAGTTTTTGTTTTTTAAAAAAAAATCATCCATTTTGCACTGCAGTGTCCGATCTTTTTGCATTTTCCGATGTTTGGGAACCTTAAGTTTGCGTCCTAGGCCCTGGTTATCGGAATCATCCTAAAAAGTTCTTATGTTCTGGGACACGAACCAAGACTGTCTTCCTCAACTCTTTACAGACACTAAACCAAATCCAACTCTTACTATCTAGAATATTTTTTTGCAAAACACACCTCTATTAAATATTTTACTTTACGAACAACTAAAGAGGCCTCACTCACATAAGAGCACCCATAGCATGCAGAGAAATTATGCTTGGATTTAGAAATAAGCGGATCCAGCCATTGATTTTGCCGTTTTGCAAGGGTTGATGCTTATGTAAGTTTTTCTAGCTTCAATGCTTGAAGAAGCTCAGGTGCTTGTTATGGATGAAAACGGTACGGATATTTATTCGACCGTCCGTTCGACCGAACAAATATGAACACTTATCTGGATAGTTACTCGGATATTCGTAATTTTTTTCGGATACGGATACTAAAACGGATATCTTAGGCGGATATCAAATACGGATATAATATCATCGATATCCGGCGGATATCGGATAATCCGGATAAGTATCGGATATATCCGGATATTTAAAAGCGGATATTATCCGGATATTATTCAAACGACCTTAGATGGAGAAATGATCAAAATAAAAATTGTAGATCTCAAAAAGTTATGAAACTTTGTTGTTTACAACTTTTTCGTTTGAAATCATTTAGTGCTTCAAAATTTAAACCGTCCAAACTTTCTCAAATGGAAAACTAGTTTATAGGCGTCAAAATTTAAAAATCACAAATTTGAACCATCCAAACTATCTCAAATGGAAAGTTGACCAAAACAACAATTGTAGATCTTGATGAGTTGAACAAACTTTGTATTCAAAACTTTTCAATTTGAAGTCATTTAGAGTTCATAATACTAGAGTCAAAGTGTTGTTTTTTCATTTGACCAAATTTGACTTGGTCAAACTTGCTCAAATGAGACACTAAATGACCTCAGATGAAAAAACTCTGAATACCAAGTTTGATCATGTCAGCAAGATATACAATTGTTACATATCTCATTTTCCCATTTGAGAAAGTTTTATCAAACACTAGTCACAAATTCTTAAATCTCATATAGACTTTCTGAAACTATGTCACATACTTGTGAAATTTGAACTACATTTTGTTCAAACTTTCTCAAATGAAAAAATAGCCTATATAAGGATTGTAGATCTTGATGAGCTGAACAAACTTGGTATTCAAAACTTTTCAATTTGAGACAATCTAGGGTTCCGAAAACTAGTTTGTAAGCATCGAAATTTAAAAATCACAAATTTGAACCGTCCAAACTATCTCAAATGGAAAGTTGACCAAAACAAGAATTGTAGATCTTGATGAGTTGAACAAACTTGGTATTCAAAACTTTTCAATTTGAAGTCATTTAGAGTTCATAATACTAGAGTCAAAGTGTTGTTTTTTTATTTGACCAAATTTAACTTGGTCAAACTTGCTCAAATGAGACACTAAATGACCTCAGATGAAAAAACTCTGAATACCAAGTTTGATCATCTCAGCAAGATCTACAATTGTTACATAGCTCATTTTTCCATTTGAGAAAGTTTTATCAAACACTAGTCACAAATTCTTGAATCTCATATAGACTTTCTGAAACTATGTCACATACTTGTGAAATTTGAACTACATTTTGTTCAAACTTTCTCAAATGAAAAAATGGCCTATATAAGGATTGTAGATCTTGAATCCATGACCATGACTCCATGAGACCCATGAAGCCATGAGCTTGGCTATTTCTACTCATGCCGCGAAGATTGGTGCTTGTATGATGTTTGATGTATGATGTATCTGTATCTTTATCTTTATCTTATTTGTTGCTTTACTCTTTAGTCTTTCGGCTTAATCTAGATGGATTATGGACTCATAGAGTGGTGTAATGGTTTGCGCACGTATGATATATATATATATATATATATATATATATATATATATATATATATATATATATGCTGCTTTTACTCAATATCCGAATAGATATTTGTATCCGACCTTCTCCGAATCCGATTCATACCGTATTCGATACTCATTATTCGTATCCGTAACCGAGTCAATACATATTCGTATATGTATCCAAACGCTATCCGTGTCCGAATCCGAATCCGAATCCGAACAGAAATATGAAAACAAATATAATATGAGTGATATCCGTTCGTATCCGATCCGTTTTCATCCCTAGTGCTTGTAGACTAAAAAATGTTATTGTCAGTTCACTTCTACCTAAACTCTTTCTCACTGCTCATCTTAAGCCAACTTAGGCATTTTTTTCTTTTTGTTTATTTGATTCATGGGATTTACCTGCTTGAACATTACAACACAAACAGAAATCAAGGATCGCTTGTGATAAGTTGGTTGGAGCATCAAATTCAAGGAAACACGCACTGGGTACTCTAAGGTGAAAATGACATGCTCAGATGGAATAAGTCCACGATGTAGTCCACGCACCTTGCTCATTCATCTCATTGGTAACCTTCTAACCACATTTTGACCGCCCCTAAACCGCTGGGTCAAGAGAGACAAAGGTGAAAAGCGATCCATTTTGGACCCCTCTCTTCTCTATCACCACTGACCTTGCTGGAGACAAGAGTGAGGGATCCCACCATGTGGCTCTAGATCTACAATTTAGCTTTTAAGTTTGTCGTCTTTGTTCTAAGTGGTTCACGCTGTCATAGAGCTAGTTACTCTTTGGCTTGTCGTCTTTGCTCCGACCTATGCTACTGTTTCAGGGGAAACACATGAATATGTGCACATTCTCACATATGTGGCCTCTACCAACTACAATGATTAGATTTTAGGACGATGCCATGGGAGATAAGGGTGATTACTATGTGTCCAACTTCTAGCATTAGCATCCTCACATCGTCCTTGTAGTGGTGGAGGTCCTTGACATCTTTATCGCCTCACATGATCGATGGGATAATTGAGGTAATTACTAATAAAGGAGATTTATCCTTGAAGTGTTTTTTTAAGTTCGATGCAACTCATGGGGCGATTGAATGACTTCGAAAACAACATTGTCCGTTGAGCATGTTGTTGGGCACTAGGGTTGTTGATCGAGTTGATCTCAAACACTTCGTGGTCAACTCAACCAACGTCTAAATTGTTGGGGGTGTTTGGGTCTGATTTGTAGTTCTAGAACTTACAAATTGGAATGGAGCTTAAGGAGGCTCCAAACATTGTGGTGTGACGCTGGACAGAGCACCAAGGAGACGCGTCATTAACCGTGATGATGAAGGATAGGCAATAAGCGATGTGAAAGATGGGGGAGAACAAAAATAAATGTTTAGGCCCTGTTCGATTCTCTTATAATCCGTCTTTTTCTAGCTGAAACAGCGTTTTTCTCTCACAACAAATTAGGCGGAATAGTGTTTTGGCTTATTTTTTTAGCGAAGCGAATGGGGCCTTAGTGTGGTTGGAAGGCAGCACCATGGATTGAGCGAATGTTGAGTAGAATGTAGCCTTGTCAAGAGGAGGAACAAGATTATTTCTGGTCCTATTGTTGATCGGATGGCAATACATCGTATGAAAGGAAGTAAAAAGTCAGAATCGAAGTGTTAGCATCTCCTGTAATTTCATGTTGTAAAGAATATCACTAAAATAAATCAAGAGAAAATTCACTAAAATATAAATGAAAAGGAAAAAAAAAAATACTAGTACAAGGCAAAAACTACTATAAATAACAATTGGTAATTAATAATTTACAAATATCAAACGGACAGGGTGCAAACCGACGCGCACACCTTTCCCTTTCCAACATTTCCGCCCACCTTCGTCGAAACGGCCAAAGCCGCAAATCCGCGGGCTTCTCTTTCTCTTCGAAGTTCGAAGTTCGAACCAAGACACAAGGCGGAACGCGAACGTCAAACCAAAGTCAACGAGGCGGCGGTTAGGCGGCCACCCACCCCAACGCCGATGGACGCGCCCCGCGGCGGCGGCGGCCACATGCGGCGGCCGGGGCCCTCCGGCGCGGCGGCGGACCAGCGCCGCGCGGCCGCGGCGCAGGCGATGGCGCGCATGGAGGAGATGATGCTCGCGCACGCAGGCGCCGCCGGCGAGTTCAGTATCATCCTCGACGCCCCTCTGCCTTCGCTCCAGCAGTACCGCCGCAACCCCGCGCCGCCGTCGGGCGCCACGTCGGCCTCCTCCTCCACCAACTCCTCCCCGTTCCGACGCGGCGCGCAGGGCGGCGGCGGAGGACGGGACGAGGGAGTCCCCGCGCGCTTGCGCCGCGACGGGAGCGGGAGCGGGCACGACGCTCTTGACGACACGGACTCCGCCGCGGCGCGCACCTCTCGCCGCGGCGCGGGCGCGGCACGGCCGCGAGCGGGTGGCGCGCGCCGCGAGCGCGAGCAGGAGGAGACGGTAGAGGCGCCGGTGCGGCTGACGGACCCGCGGAGCGTACGGAGGCCGGTCTCCCGCGGCGCGACGCCTCCACCGAGGTCCACCGAGGTGAGACGCGTGGCGGCTCAGGAGGAGGAACAGCGTGCCGTGCGCCGCGAGCGCGAGCAGGAGGAGACGATAGAGGCGCCGGTGCGGCTGACGGACCCGCGGGTCGTTCGGAGGCCGGTCTCCCGCGGCGCAACGCCTCCACCGAGGTCACGCGTGGCGGCTCAGGAGGAGGAAGAGGAGACGCCGCTTCAGCTGCTGGCACGCGGCGGGCGGAGCTCAAGCGCGACGAGGCCTGCAGAAGCGCCGCAACTGACGGTAGCGCCGCAAGCGTCAGAGACCGTGGCTGCTGCCAACCTGCCTGCCACAAGGCCCTCTAGTCGGCGGTCGAGGCGGGACGTCGGCGTGAAGCAAGTTGTGTCTGAGGTAGCGTCGAGCGTGGACTCTGACGTGGAGAGCGTCGGGCGGTGGAGCAGCCGAGGGAGTGAGGACGGTGGGGATGAGGCAGTGTCGTTGCCCAAGCCTTTGGCGGCCGTCGTCGCCAGGGACCGGAGCAGGAGCAATTCGCCCGCGATAAGTAATGTCAAAGATGATAGCTTACCATTTGTTATCTCAAGCAATTCGTTTGAAACAACTCGGAATTTAGCTATAGCAAAGAAAGAAACAAGTCTGGAAAAAAGTATTAGTACTGTTTTGCTCCTCATATGCTCTGCTTGATACTCTGTTTGGAACCAAAAGATTATAACAATATTTTGTTTTAATTTTTAAACTATGAACAATTAATACGATACAAAGCATATGCCATACAAGCCACTGGAGAATGTAGTTGCTGAAGTTGTGATTCGGGTCTGTTCTCAGTTTATTTCAGTTACTGGTGACTGATAATTGATTGCATTGCTGTTATACTGTTTTTCCTTGTCCCACAACTTTTAATTACTGGTAACTCGAGATATAGTTATTTAAAAACATGGTATTGTTAAATTTGTTGTTTCTTGCTGTACATTCTAGTTTCATGCTGCTGCTGCTTTGATGTTTCCTTTTGATACAATTTATATTTTTGTTTCATGTGAACATGAAGTTAAGGAGATATGAGAAGTGAATTCTTGATCCAGAAAAGTATTACTTCTTTCAACTTCTTTTTTTTAAAATATTCTGAAGAAACTACTTGCAATCTCAGATGCTGAAGCAAGCCTTGTTCTCGAATATTTCGGTCACCTATGAAACGGCGCACCTTATTTCCTCTGTCATTGTTTACCTAGTTAGGTCGGAATGGTGTGGACTCAGCTGCAGCAAATCGTGCACCATCAACAGGAAGGTCAACCTTTGCACCTCCAGTTGGCGTTAGTGTGAGGCCTCTACAAGCTGTGGAAATTCCCAATGGGACACCTAAGGATAGAAGGTGAATTGTCAAGCTTTTTTGAGATAATTCTCTTGCTATTTCATTGTCATATTGCCAGCACGTCTCTTGAAAACAGATGCCGCTCTCATTCTATTAATGATTTTATGCCCCAGTTCATAGTTGCGACTTATGGTTTTTCTGCTACATATTTAGATTGTAGAGTTTCATACATTGTACTTGAGAGACAAGCCACTTTCTTCACTTCTTGATTGCATAGAATTTTTATGTTCCTTTACAAATATTGCTTTGGAATGTCCTTTTTCATAGACCCAATGCCTTTCTCTTGGCATAGACAAGTGTGTTCCTATCTTTTTATATTTAGTTTTCCTCGAAAGTATGAATATTTTAATCAGAAAAACTTTTTTCTGCTGTTAATGTTCATCATAATGTTGCTAATGTATTCATTGCATAGGAAATTAGTCTGACTTCCTTCTCAGTATGTTTCATCATTACTGATATAATTGTAGTCTATCTATAAGTAGTAACGAGATTGCTGGGATTAACAGTTGATATTTCACCATGCTGTAGGGCTGTTTATCCAGATCCCACTTTTGCCCAGTCCGCACGGTCACGGGACTCACATGACAGTTCAACACTAACAGAAGAGGTCTGTCGCAAAGCTTACTACTGTCACACCTTCTACATTCTATAGTTTTCAGATGTTTTCTACAGAACAATTAGTGAACTTACACAGGGCTTTCGTCAGTAATAGTGACATAACTTTTTCCAATTAAGAAATCTGACAAATGCTGCTTTTGTTTTTCAGCTTGAAATGCTAAAAGATGAGAACGTAAATCTTCTGGAGAAGGTGCACTATGGTTCTTACCTGTATTCTAACAGATTCCACAAATCAGAAAATAGAAGTGTCTTCGTTTCATACTAAACTTATGTAATACTCTTCCGAATTCAGCTTGGGCTAGCAGAAGAGAAACTTAGACAATCTGAAGCCCGGACAACGGAGCTTGAGAAACAGGTATTCTGTTTGGCATTTCAAGTATCTGGTATGACTGTCCCAGATTCTGCTTCATTCGTATTGTAAAACTTGATATAATTAATAGTTATGCAGCTTCATTCAGAGATCTGAAATTTTAATACTGTGCTTGATGAGTTTCTCAACATGCATCATACTATTGCTTCATAGTATACATTTTCAAGTGTTCAATCGGTACTTGTAGTGTTAAGTTTGTATTATTGTATAGTGGCATAATCAAGAGGTTATACCAGCCTTTTCTAACAAATTTATTATAGTATCATACTACCATTTTCCATAAGCGTAGTTTTTACTTCTAAATGATGCCTCTCCAAATATGAAAGCTCATTCAGTCAGGATTGAGTTTAAATTATTTGCTTTTGCATTACTTCGTTCATGTGACCATTGTGATTGGATAATTTGATTATGTAGAGCACATATGATATCCATTTTATATCTTTGTTGTCTGCAATATCTCCAGGTTGCTAATCTCGGCGATGGGTTATCTATGGAAGTAAAACTTATGAAAAGGTATTTGGAGTGTATTTTTGGATATTTTACACGTTGTTTCCCCTATCACATTATCCATGACTTCCAACTTATGGGTGCAGGAGGGAGGAGATGCTTGTAAGAAAGGAGGTACAAGTTTAATTTTGCATGTTTATCTGTTTATGCTAATAGTGATCAATTGGATTTTTCTGAAATGGAACTGAACACATGTTAAATAACACTGCTATCCATTCTAGAAGTGTGATGAATGATGCATTAGAATTCCCTCATTTTGTTGTTTGAAGTGGCCCGAATCCATACTTTATATAATCTAAGTTTTGATAGAATAATTGCTACTCTAGGAAATTTCTTCAGCTGGTAGGTGTTACAAGAGGACATGGTGTTCATACATATTTTTTTCCCTGATTTAAAAACAGCAAGAGATAAGAAAAGCTCTTATATCCAAGAATGGTAAAAGTGAGGAACTCACCACTCTTCAACAACAGCTACAGGTAAGGTGCTAGCCTATGCCCTACAATAAGGAACATTATGAGTTCAACTATCAGTTGTCAATAATGTTGTTTTCTGTTCTAGTCTGCAAGAGAAGAAGCATCTGCTGCTGTGAAGAAACTCAAAGAAACTGAATCCGAAACACAAGAGTTACGTACAATGACACGCAGGATGATCTTAAGCAAAGAAGAAATGGTTAATTTCCTCTATCATTTTTCCTTTTATCCAAAGATTCAACCAAGCATAAATGTCTAGTTGCTTGTGGAAGTGCTGATTTGAAGCACATAATTATTGTACAGGAAGAGGTTGTCATGAAGAGGTGTTGGTTAGCCCGTTATTGGGGCCTGGCTGTCCAATATGGTAAATTCAGAATAAGACAACCTTTTTATTTTTGCAACGAATTCAATTGAATGCTGGTTTTGTTAGCATGTGGGGACCTATAACATCAGTCTTCCTAAAATTCCTGTCATTCTTGAGTTCACAGTAACACTGTTATGTTTCCTTAGTTTCTAAACTCCTGTCAGAAAGCAGTGACCGAATTCCCCATTTCGTAACGTATTTACCAATTGATGCTTTGTGTTTTTTCTGAGTAAATTCTTGCAATTCTGCAGGCATTTATCCAGATATCTCAATGTCAAAACATGAATACTGGTCTTCACTTGCACCTCTTCCGTTTGAGTATGTAACATCGGCTGGACAGAGAGCTAAGAATGGATCTGAAACAGAAAGTAATGGTTTGGAAGACGTAGACAAGCTTGTTCATGATTTGACTGTTACAGCAGGGGAAGGCAACGTAGAAACCATGCTTGCTGTTGATAAAGGACTTCAAGAACTAGCTTTCCTGAAGGTGCTTATCTTTTTTAACTAGGCTTTCATCCATATTTATTATTCATAATATACATTCAGCAGTTCTCAGCACCTTAGGTAGCCTGGTGCTGAAGATTTTCTAGATCAAACTTTGCCATTTACCTTTTTTCTGTTGTCACTTTTCTGATGCTCCTAATTATTTTTTGGAGGTTGAGGATGCGGTACTTTTTGCCCTTGCCCAACACCATCGTTCAAATGTTGCTGGAGCAGCTGATCCAGGTTTCTTCTGTTGCTTTTCCTATTTGTTATTGATAATGTACCAAGAATATTTTGCATAAAAGATCATTATATTATGAATCATCAATTGATCAGTTGACATTATTCCTTAATTGGCCATCTGAGAAGCTAACTCACGTTTATGGTTTGGTGTTTCACATATGCAGATATTAAATCATCTGGGGATGAAAAATTCACTGAAGCATTTGGTACTGTTATCTCTCTGTTTTCTGTAACCATCATATTAATAGCTAGCTATACGAGTGATGTTCTTTCAACATTAGTTGGCTGGTTAGCTGTAGCATCACCCAGTGCCATGTTTGTTCTGTTGGGAAACGTTACAAATTCATGACCAATACTTAATCTAACTTGTGCAGACCTAAGCAAGGAGGAGGAAGAAGATGTACTGTTCAAGCAGGTACCGTTCCTATTCCTTTTTCTCTGAGCCTGACTTCAATCAGCAAGTTAGTTAATTCTGTGCCAAGTTACTAATAAAATTCATTTTGCTTCATGGTGACTGTGTCATCCCTTGTAAGTTTATTCCTTTAGTCTTGCGTGTTTTAGTATAAATGTGGCTAGAATAGAAGTTCTTGGTTGTTGCCTTGGTGGCCTAAGGCCAATGTATTAAGAAAAGGAAAAATGAAGTGTCGCATATCATAATTACAGTCAGTTTTGTAGAGCAGAAAAATGAGCTGCATGAGGATGCACAGTATGAGTTACAGAAAAAAGTTGTTCAATAGACTTTGGCTATATAGACCAAAGAAGTACAACATACCAGATGCCGAGATTATGTAAATGCTAATGTTCTTATGTGGTGACCGTCAACTCTGATGCCACTGCTCAGGCTTGGCTCATCTACTTCTGGAGGAGGGCTAAAACCAACAACGTGGAAGAGGATATTGCTGAGGAGCGATTGCAGATGTGGATCGATCGACACGGCCAGCAACCAACGTCACATGACGCTGTGGATGGTATAATTTTCTTTTTGCTAGTTTTCTTATGTTATGCTTGTGGCTGGTGTCACACTGAACATCGAAGCCATAACGGTGTTGTTGATCGTGAAAATCAATCCTGGCCAGAAATGACTTATACCTTGAGCATTATTATACTCTGGCAGTTGAGCAAGGCATCCACGAGCTGAGGAAGCTGGGCATCGAGCAGCTCCTCTGGGAGCTCTCCCGCCATGAGGCGAACCTCGCGAAAGACGAACCGTCGGATGTCGAGGACCTGACCTAACAGCCCTTAGCGGACGACGGCGACCATCTTCCGAAATGCAGTTCAGCCATATATTTGTATATCACATACAGAAAACTGGGACAATGTAAACATTTTTGTGGTTTTGGTTTTCAGCTTTGTCACAAAACGGTTCATTGATTCTTTTCCCCCATGTACATAACTTCCACCCTACTTTTTTGGTTAGTAGCATAAAAAGCAGCTTGAATGGTGCAACTGAAAGTGTTGTTGCACATGGCGGCGAAAGGCGCAATAGATATAATGATTGTTGATTGATCAGCCGACTCTGCATATATGGGTTACACGGCATGCATGCAGTCCAACAACAGAAAGGAACAGGTCATGTATATTCTGGAGCCACATGAATGAAGAACATTAAAGCAATACTTGATTTGTCTAATTAACAGCAGGAACAGGGGTCAAATCAAACCTAGTGATGTGCTTGCCGTGTGCCTTTTACAAAGCTGAAGCAATCAGTGAGTCAGTAATACCTAGATCACATCTGGTTGCCAACTTTTTTAATTCACAATTACGTGCCATTTCATTTGATCTGGCCGGGTTAGCAGTGACACCAGAGCTAAAAAGAAGAAGCACCCGACACAAAATAAAAGACCCAGATAAAACCGAGGCCAACTAGGCCCATGGCCCGCTTAGTTGGCAGATCATGAACCGCGCTGGTAACAGAGGCCATTCGTCCTGCTCCAGAGAGGAAGGAGGTGGTGACTTGGCAACTTGCGGTCCTATCCCTCCGTCCCCATCCAGGCAACCACCCACCGCACATACTTCAGATATTATTTTAGACTAGAAATAGGCTACAGCTGCTAGGCTGAAACAGTCTCAATCAGACAAATGGCGTGGTTGTTACCCGGAAACAGCCAAGCAGACATTGTTGACCTTTTAAGGCTGCGTTCGGCAGGTACGAAAATCAGTCGAATTTCACGGGTCCCGAATGAAAAACACTGTTTATGTTTTCACAAATTCTTTCAGATTTATCCAAATTTCTCCAGGTTTGTTCGCTGGGAGAAATCTGGAGGAACTTTGTGGGAGCGTGAACAGTGTTTTTCCATTTGGGAACAGTGAAAACCGGCTGGTTTTCATACCAGCCGAACGTAGCATAAAAGGTCAACATTTTTTTTTGAAACAAACTAAAAGGTCAACAATGTGGATACCAACGCCATCGCGGAAGCTGGTTGATCAGAGATGCCAGAAACCAAGTACTGCAGCACAACACCATCGAGGACTGCTGGGAGCTGGACGAGATCCTGGGTACCTGTTCCGTGAAGCTCCGAGCAAGCTACGTGGATGGAATGATTAAGCAAGCTGTAGCTTAATTACATTGCTGGGCGTTGCGTGCGAGACGGGGGGCTGTGGTGTCCGTCTGCCCATCAGTATCGTACGTACTCTACGTAGCACTGAACTGAGCCACACAGCCAAGGGACACGGAAACCATGGATGATTAGCCAATCGGTACAGAATCACCGGGGATGGGATGGGATGGGATCGGATCATCCGGTGTTCTCCGCCCGGAAGCCTGCATGCGCATGACGTCTTGACCGTATAACAGTCGTCCTGTTTGGGGCTTCCTTCTTCTCGGCGCTGGACCGCTGATCTGATCGATCGCCATCGACTGGAGAGCGCTTCCTTGGCCGCCAAGTCGTCCTACTCGTACAGCAGCCAAGCGGACTGCCGGTAGTGTGCTGTGCTCCAAAGTCTGAACACGGTTTCCCTTTGTCTTATCGCGTTTGGAGGGGCCATTAGACTAAGACGAGGCGACCTGCACGCGCTCTTTGAGTCCAAGTCTTCTCTTCTCTCCTCACTCAGTGACCACATCGGCCGGGTCATATCATAGACAAGAAGAGCCATCTCCATAGCAGCTCAGGGGACGCTGCTCTGCTCAGCTCCCACCACAGCAAAGCAACTACTGCTTCGAGCCTCCACACAACACAACCCTCTTCGACCGATCCTTGGCGGGGCGTTCTGAATCTTCAGGTTTGGATTAAATCAGCCATGAAGGTACCTGCACTGCATCAGCTCGATTCTTCATTTGCGCGCTGTCTGTCTGTTCTGCTCCTAATTTCGGCTCAAACTGACACTGCTCTGCTTGTGTGTGCGTCTCCTGACTCTGCAGCAAAAGATCGTGATCAAGGTGCCGGTGGCGAGCGACAAGTCCGGGTCCAAGGCCATGGCGCTGGTGGCCGCCGCGGACGGGGTCGACTACGTGGCCATCGTCGCCGTCGGCGAGGGCATCGACTCCATCAAGCTCACCAGCGACCTGCGCAAGAAGGTGGGCGACGCGCACCTTGTCGAGGTCGGCGAGGACAAGAAGGAGGAGAAGAAGCCCGACCCCGTCGCCGACTACACAGTAAAAATCTCTCACGGTTACCTATTGCAAACTTTCTGTTCCAGCTGCAGTATTTGTTTCGGACAGCTTTTGTCCCGTGAGGAACTGCCGGCTGTTTCACTTTTTTTTGTTTTTTTTCATAGCTTTTCTCAAGAGTCAAGACAAATTTTAACCGTGTTTCTTGATATCACAAAGCTAGTGACTTGTCCAATGAACTACCTAGGTGGTACGCGCTTACAAAGTTATCCATGTTCCCATTACATATGCTACTCCCTAAATTAAATTGTAAATCATTCTGATTTTTCTAGATACATATATATAATATATAGACATGTAACAAAAGCTATTTACATATAGAAAAGCCATAACGACTTACAATTTGTTAGAATGAAGCATGTAGATTGTAAATTTTAGCAACATGTGCACTAGCCTGAGTGTCTAATAAGTATCTCAATTGGTGAACGGTTGATACAGGACATGCCCCATTCTCAGTAAATATATGCATGCGGACCTTACTACAGTGCTCTAATTAGCTCCTACAAGGTAATACAGTAGTAAAGTCAATTCAAATATGACTCACTGATTTTTAGAAGGGATATATCAATTAATATTTGTAGAAGGTAACAAAAAAAAAGCAAAATAAAAATCAACCATATGCAGAAGGATGTGATGTGGCCGCCGAGAGGTAATTGGATCTCTTATATTCAATGTTCTTTAATTTCTTATAAACCACTCTAAATCCTTATTTGGACCGAGAGCAATTCCACCGTTCAACAATTTCTTTATATCTTATTCCGCACTTTAGAGAACCAGCTCCGCTCTTTATCTTTGGTAAGCAAGAAACCAGAAATAGAGGACAGGGATATCTAGAGATCTCCTAGTTCAAGATTGAAAATGTCAATAAAATCTCATTTCCTATCAATACAGAATGATATAAAGAGACCCTCGAAGTTGCTCTTGTGTTATAAGGTAATACATGATAATATTTCTCCAGATCTATCTAAATGGACAATCCATACTCATTTAATAACACTCCATCGGTTCCAAATTATAAGTCACATTGACTTTTTTGGTACATTTATTTTGGTATGCATCTAGATATAGTGTATGTCTAAATACATAGAAAATTCTATGTAAAAAAAGTCAAAACGACTTATAATTTGGAGTGGAGGGAGTACCATATAGTAAAGCCCATGTTTGCTCTTACCTTGTACAAAGGATTACTGTGTTATTATTAGTGAGTTAGGACGCGAAAGTCAACTTTTTTCCCCTATAGGAGACAGAGTACCATGGAGACCGAGTTACAGCGTACCAGTGTGATGCCAATGGAGTTTACACTCCAGACGTTAAGGCATATTACGGATGGTTTTTCTAATAATCTCATAATTGGTCATGGTGGGTGTGGAGTAGTTTACAAGGTATGATTATCACTTGCATCCACAAATTACAAGAACTCATACCATATTATATTAACAAAATATATTCAATAGGGAGTATTGGACAATGGGGAAGAAATAGCTGTAAAGAAGCTTTACCGCATCCAGCAACCAGGACTCGAGAATAACAAGCAATTCAAGAATGAATGTACTAACCTTATGAGGGCTCAACATAAAAATATTGTACGGTTAGTTGGCTACTGCTACGAAATACGACACGAACTTGTTGAGCACAATGGAGAAGTCATTTTTGCTGGAGTGGAAGAAAGAATTCTATGTTTTGAATACTTGCAGGGTGGATGCCTTGAAAACCATCTCTCAGGTATGATGGTTCTCAAATTAGACTGTTACTAGTCCATCAAACCATGCTCTTGCATGGCTAGAATTTTATAGAAGATATTAAGTATCAATTATTGCTTAATGCCGCTTACTAATAAAAATGTTTATATTAAATTGTATTTTCTTTATTTATTTTCTAACATAATAGGCATAATAGATACTTTGTAGTCTTTACACGATCATAACGAACTTACTAATTATTGATCTATATGTTTTTCATTAATATCCATAGTTTTTTTCTTTTGCACAACATCTTTGTGTATATTCAATATGCATTACGTTTAAACCTTATCTTCAATTATGGTGGCTCTTGTTGCAGCTCATATATTATGATGTCGTGCATCTAAATTTTGTTTTTTCAAATTTTATCTGGTTTGCTACAGATTTTTTATCCTCAAGTTAAGTTGAAGTTCTTGTTCTTATTCCATCCTTTGTACTTTTTAAATAATAGGGATTTGATATCGTAACCTGCACTCTTAACTATTAGGATGGCATAACCAGTCATTTGAAATTTGCCAATAGTGATTAGAGTCTACAGAATTGATGCTTAGACGTTTTTGATATTTTTTAGAATTTCTAGAATATTTTTTTATTATTATAGCGGGTCTTGTGAGGCTTAACGTGGAGGCTCTACATGGGAACTCTGGTTAGAATTTATAGAATTTATTTTTTTCCATGCGCAATATGTATTAAGTTCAAACACTATTGCTTATGTATCATTTATTCAAAATTTCTTTTTTATTTTATTAAGAAATATTATATGCCCAAGACTACCCCATTGGCTTTTACAATGTCTCAAATAGTAGTTTTTCCTTGCACCATGGCACTCTAAATGTTGGATTTGTCATAGCAAAAAATTATATGTGTTAGTAGTATTATTTTATAATATAGTGTTTAAATTAAATTGTTAATATTGCTATGACATAATGTTTCTTTAAAATGTATAAACTTATTTAAGATAACTTAGGAAATTTATTACCATGGAGTATTGATATAACTAAAAATCGTTAGCCCTTTCTATGCGCTTTCTTACATATTTTTTCCATGCTTCATAAGATATTAAAATAAATATTTATCTAATGCGTACATATTTACTTGATCTACATGGTGAAATATTATGTTTACTTTTAACTTAAGCACGTACAAAGTGTGTAACTTAAAAATATATGGATGTTGAATTATTTTTTCGTTATAGGTTATATTAGCATTTACATGTGGATTTGAGAGATATTTTTGTTATTTTTTTTACAATGCATAGGTGGATAATTTATATACAAATTAAAAGGTTTACTTTCTAATCTCTTTCATGATGGCATATATTGGTAATTTAAATGCAAATTTATTAATTTGTATTATTTTTTATAATGGCATATGTGGGTAATTCGTGAAAAATATGAGAAAGTTATTTTAAATTATCTTTCATAATAGTAGAGTTGGGTATAGATACAAAGTTTGAGGGTCATTATGAATAATCTTTTATTAATGCAAGAGTGGGTAATTTAATTTTGAAATTTCTTTCATAATGGCAAAGGTAGGTGATTCTTTTATAAAACATAATAGATCTAATAGCTATTATTAGCACTAATGATTACATAATACCAAACTAAAGGCTAGATGTTTCTGTTTATCTTGAGAATTTTTGGAATGATCTTTTCTTTCTAGCATATCTAGTGAGAATTAATGTAGCCTATAATTAGTAATAGTAAGATTTTGTATGTAGCCCTTTAAAAAATATTTTGTTTGTAATCTCTGCAATTTACTTCTTTCAATAGTGCACTTTATACATGCTTCTACAGATGAATCCCACGGATTAAATTGGTGCACACGTTACAAAATAATTAAGGGGATTTGTGAGGGCTTACACTACCTTCATAATGGATCTAATCATCCTGTTTATCATCTGGACTTAAAGCCTGGGAATATATTGCTGGATGAGGACATGGTGCCTAAAATAGGGGATTTTGGTTTGTCACGACTCTTTGATTCAACACAAACACATGTCACGTCAAAAGTTATAGGAACACGGTAAGTTAACTGTTCATGAGAACAATAAACTTCTGTTACCAACTTTTTTTTATTAAAAATATAACTGTATTTTCATACCGTGCAGTGGATACATGCCACCAGAGTACATCACGAGCCACAAAATCACAAACAAGTTTGACATATTCAGCTTGGGTGTTATCATCATACAAATAGTTGCAGGACCTGAGGGCTACACAAAAAGCGATGAAATGCCCTCCCAACGATTTATTGAGCTTGTAGGAAACAAACTTGCTGTGTCTTAATTGAATACCAGTCCCTTTTTGCAACAAAATATTTGTTGTCTTACCTGTGCTGCAGTCATGCCACCTAAGCTTTTCTGTAATTATGTGTCAATATCGCAGGTACATGGAAACTGGTGTAAGAGGTTTCAGGAAACAATCCCGGCACATACATCACAAGAAATTAAGACAGCCCGTCGTTTGAGAAAAGAAATTCAGACATGCATTGAAATAGCATTAAGATGTGTACGTGGAGGCTGATCGAGAGAAAAGGCCTACTATAAGCGAGATTCTTGATGAACTGAACAAGTTTGATACATCCGCCTTAAATGAACTAAGTAAGATGAATAATATTGCCAACAGCTCACCTATAAGCCAGGTACATACTATCACACTGGTCATCCTATTCTTGTGTTGTCATCTGCAAAAGCAATGTGCGTGTACACAATGCTTCTCGGAACAATTTACTTCTCGGAACAATTTACTATCTTTCACCTAAAATATTACATTGCTTCTTCTTTCCATTAGTTTATATTCCTTTACTCACTCTATGTGGATGTGGAAGGACTAATCTGACTACCCGGCATATCTTCCAATTTACCACTCATATACTTCCTATCCTTTTTTCCCATGTCTTGTACTAAAGGGCGTACCCAGTGCAGAGAGCTCCCACGCTGTGCGGGGTCTGAGGAAGGATGTTAGTGACAAGCCTTATCCTCGTCTGTGCAATGCGAAGAGACCACGACTCGAACCCGGGACCTTCCGGTCACAGGCGGTAAGACTCAACCGCTTGCACCAGGCCACTATTATATTAATTTTAGCACATGAAAGAAAATTTGTTTTTTTCTTTCCTTCTCAGCCCCTCTCTTAGTAGCATTTCTATAACATGGAATCCTGAATGAAAGACCCAATACTCCCTCTGTTGTTCTAAACTGTAAATCATTTTGGTTTTTCTATGTACATAGTTTTTTTATTTACCTAATAAAGCCAAAACTGTTACAAATAAAGGGAGACTGAACTGGATTGATACTTTTAAGGTCTAAAAGAGGACAATATATAGAGTACATGAGGGAAATCCTAGACTAGGGAGATTACACTAATGCCCTTTGACTATTATACCTTAACAAAAACAACTTAATATTTGGA